AATAATAATAATAATAATAAATAAAATGACTTAACATTGATGAATGGCATGCTTCTATGCTTGATAATGAATCATACATCAATTTTAGTCATACAATTGTTCTACATATGCACCACCACGTGACGGCAGCCATATTAGATGGCAGGAACGATACAGCGGTTTACATAAGAATTCAGTTCCCGAGAGCAAAGGGATTTAGTTCTGCCATCTAACCACAGGCATCCCATGCAAGCTGTATTATTAACGTGCGTAGGATGAGACCAATCCAAAGTAGGAAGAACCTACATATAGCACTCTATCTATTGTATTTATATTGTCGTTCTATCTATTGTATTAAGTGTGACTCATTGTATTTCAAAAACATTACATGGCAACTGCTTGCTAAAATAGTCTCTCTCAAGCTAAGTAACGTGCATGAGCTTCGTCCCAATATATTCACGGTCCTTTTTACCTCCTTGGATTAAATGGAATGAAATTCAATAAAATCACGATATCGATGATGGAGACGAAGGGTGGCTGGGTGGGAATGATAGGATGGATAAATGAATGAATGGGAAGACGGACAAATGAATGGAATGGCAATAAGCATCGATGAATGCAATACTAGGATAGAATAACTCTGTAGATTATGAATACTACTTTCATAAAAATCTAGATATTCCGATTCAAAAGGCTATAGTTTATGGTTCGAAAGTAAAGCTGTAACTAACTCTGTCATTAATTGTTGCATCTCGTACGCTTCAGAAAATATTACTTTATGGTTGCACGAAATATTTGCGATGTGCTTCAAGAGAAGCCTTCAAAACGTTAGGGATTTACTTGCTTCACAGGTAAAAATCTTATTGATTATTATTTCCATGTCCCTGCCTTGAAATCCCTGCGATTACAAGATGTACGTGATCCGACAAAGTCAACAAAAACAAGTCTTTTAACAAAAGTTACATTCCCATCTTTCTTTATTTGCATCATTGCCAATAGGCGTCATTTAAAGAGCACCTATCATGACAATCCTCATTGGTTGCTAAACAAGGACTAGCAAGGAGTAAATCAACATCTATTGTTTTTTCTCTCTCTACCTCATTTCGATTCT